CTCACTTTTGTTCAAGCCATTTTCACATAACATCAAGTTGCAAATCACATCTATGTTGGTTGTATCTTGCTTTACAGGTCCTAAGCTTTCTATACACTCCATAATTAAATGAAAACTCAGTTGACAAAGGCTTTATCTTTTCTTTTGAACCTTTACACAAGATGTATTTCCATTTTGGGCAAAAAGTTCACAATGTCATTTTCATAAAGGATAAATTTTGCAACTTTGTCAATCTTGAGCATTGAACCTGTCCCTTTAGTACAAGCAATTTCTACAGGTCTCAAGCAATGTGTACCAACTCTTATCAGCCCTCAAGCAAGCTAGTACAAGCATTTAGCATTGGTCTTGTCACTTTACTTCAAATGCAAGAAAAGTTGCAAAAAGGTCCAAAGCTTGCACAACTAGTAAGGGCTGACTTTGTATCATTTCTATACAAATATACAAACTTGTTACAAGGCATAACACACTTGGATTGAACCTGAAACTATCTAAAACTCAAAAACTCCACAAAACTGCCTAAAACACAGAATTTCTGCAAAAGCACAGCCAACTCTCATTTGGCTTGTGCGTTTTGTGTTTAATCATTTCAAACACCTTCTATAAATCATACCAAAGCAATCCAAGCCATCACCCTAGTTCTGTAACCCCTTGTTTCAGCATCCACCATTTTCACTTTGGAAGCTTGTAGCTTGACTTATCTAGAGAGTTCCATCCATCCTCAAAGCAAGATAAGCATTGGAATAGCTTCAGGGAAGTTCAAAGAAGCTTAAACAATCACCATGCCTCCATTAAAGTCCCTACATTGTTCTGCATGATTCCAACTGAAGGAGGTATTTTTTTCAAACTCTATCTCTCAGAATAGGCAACTTCAAGCCACGATTTGTGAAGAAAAAATGTAGCTCTCATCATAACGAAGTTGTACATATCATTACTTTTCATTTATATTACTTATGCTGAGAGAATTTGAAGATTGAAAACTCGGAAAAAGTTAGGTCACGAATTAGGGGTTCAAAAATTTTCTCTGATCTTTAAGAGTTAGGTTGCATAATTTATATTGTTGGAATCGTGAGCTCAAATGCTACATGTTTCATGTTATGAGTTTTTGTTTTTGTGCAAGCATAAGAGAGATACAGTTTGAACTGGAAACGCGCGCAAGAAGCTTGGACGAAGGACAGGGATGAAGTGTCTTGGGCTTTTTGTGCTTTGGCCTTTTTGTTTTCACTAATCACACCCCCTGACTTGCTACTGCACCCCCTGGCTGATTTTTTATATTTTTCATATTTTTTTTCATATTTCTATATTTATTGCTTTTGATTATTTTTTTCTTCTGAATAATAAAAAATCATAAAAATAATTTCTTTATTTTTACAATTTTATTTTATTATTTTATTATTTTTTTTACATAAAAAATTAATATATTTGAATAGGATAGAACTTATTTTCTTAAATATTTTGTAAATACAATAAAAAATACTTAATATTTTTATTATACTATTTATACTCATAAATACTTATTATATATATATATATATATATATATATATATATATATATATATATATATATATATATATATATATATATATATATATATATATATATATATATATATATATATATATATATATATATATATATATATATATATATATATATATATATATATATATATTTAATTTTTTAATATTTAAACATAATTTTATTTTTTATTTTTTATACAAAAATATACAAGTTAGTAAATATAGAATATTATTTTCTTTTAATTGAAAAAACTAGGGTTTTAAACCCCTCCAAAATAATATTATTTTTTCTAGGGTTTGAATTAATTATTTTTCTCATACAAAAACACAATATTTTTTTAACATAAACATTGCATTGCATTTTAAATATTTGTATTGTATTTATTTAAATTCGCGCATATTCGATTTGGTTGTAATAATATATTTAGCTTTACATTTGTGCAAATCCCCATTCAAACTTGTATCTCCCTCCCATAAAAATTGTTGTAATAGCTTAGTTTACATTACACAATTTATCGCTTTTATGTCATGTTTAGTAAATTAGGGTTTGCATGACAAGAACAAAAACAAAGCAAAATAGAAAACCTTAAATGCAAGACAAAAGCATGAAAATGATATACTTTGCACACAAGCACCCATAGGGTTTCTCCCACTTGGTTGCCTAAATTAAAATGACCATGTTACGCATGCGAAGTATCTTGGAAAAACAAAACAAATATAAGATCATAGTCCCTCGATGACGTTATTCAAAGGTTGCCTAAAACAAAATGATCTTGGTCCCTCAAAAATGCTAAGATACTTGGCAACATTGCTATCATGGTTATACAATGACCCACGCCCGTCCCGTTTACATACAAAGATAGGATTGCTTACCAAATCAATGGTAAGTCAACAATGTCAAAGGAATAAAAATGCACAAGAAAGACATTTGAGTAGGTAGATAGCTTCTAAGTTACTTGCTCCATTTCAAAATAATCCTTGCTATTTTCAAAAACAAACACACACACACACATTTCAAAACATCTTACAAAATATTGAGAACATTTTCAAAAAGACAAACATCTTTGTATACATTCTTACGAATGAGAATCATTACAAAGATTGCCTAAACGAATGGCCTCTTTTACAAAATACTTTCAAAATCACACCAAACACCATTTCAACCAAAACAAAGCAAGTGATCTAAACAAGTAACTAAGATCCCATGGAAAACCATGGATGAAAAGGGTGCTAGCACCTTCCCTTTTCATAATCTACCCCCCGAACTCAAGAAAACATCTCAAAGGTCTTTCCTGTGCTTTTTTACCTTTCCTTTTGGATAAAAGAAAAGTAGGCGGCGACTCTTGCTAACCGCAACATTTGCGAACACAAACGCAAAACCTCAGTTCTCCCACCGTATCACACTATTCAACAAGAACAGTTTATTATTCCCTGATTTAGAGGCATACAAGACTCTATCTTCTCCCACAAAGTTTTTTCATGTGTCTCATTAGCAATATGATTATAAACATTATCTTTTATATATTGCCGAATAAAACCACATACCTATTGATGTTGAAACTCCCATTCTTCACCAGACACGGAATCCGACTTTGTGGAACTAATAACCAATAAATGCAATTTCTTCATAAATAGTAAGTCTTTCATCTTTCCTTTCTATAAATGGTAATTAGAACCATTCAACAATACCATCTTCATCTTTGTATTTGACTCCATCATTCAAACAAATAAAATAGCCTTAAACCAAAATCTCTGATGCCACTCTGATGAGAAATTAAGACACAATAATAGACTAATATGCAGTAGATATAATATTTTGTACACTTGTAAGAACTTTGAGGATCAACAATAAATATAAGACAATAAATCGAACAAATAAAGACACACAAGAACACCAATATTTTTAATGTGGAAAACCCCTCAATGTAAGAGTAAAAACTACGAGTCATCCAGACCAAAGAAAAAAACTCCACTGTAATCAATTGAGTATACAAGAGAGTCTTAAAGTGATTCACAAAATAATGATATCAACCACAAATCACAAAGCAAACTAACTTACAAATAAGAATAAAAAAGCTAAAATTTTATCTCAAATCTGCAGATTCAGTGCGAAACAGATATCTCTCAACTCAAAATGTATTTTTAAGATCTCTATGGTCAAAAGGTATATGTGTTGCAAACAAGCACACCAGATTTTAGCTCAATCCGACGGTGAATGAATCAGGGATCATCGTTTTAGTGAGGCTGATGTATAAAAAAGGGAATGAGTTTCTCTCCTCTTTTCTCTTTTTTGAATTCTTATTTTATCTCTATTTTTATTCAACCCTAAATTGATATTCTCCACTTAAATAAGTGAGACAAATTAACTATTCATATTTGAGTTTTTTCCACATAGGAAGGGAGCTCAAGCCCAACATGCGAGGGGCTTCCCCAAGTAAAATGTGAACATTGAAAACGCATGGGGAGCCCCCTCACTAATTATTGTCTTTATAAATGCTTCATCATTTCATTTTCCCACCGATCTGCAAAACCTTTCTTCAACCCAACATGCGAGTGAAATGTAATATTGATGTCTTTGAATTACTAATAGGGGTTGGTGTCTTTGAAATAACACGGGAAGATTCAACAATGCAAGTGTTGCTTGGTATATAGGTATTATGTCAACTATAGAAGCTGAAGCCTTGGCGCTGAGAGAAGCTGTTCAAAGTGTTGTTACCATGAATCTGAACAATGTGGCTTTTAAAAGCGGCTCTCAAGTGGTAGTTCAAGACATTAATTTTATTGTTACCGATAGTTCTGAATTTAGTATTATTATTCTTTCTATTAGAAGATTGTTAAATTTTATTCTAAATTTGAGGTTAAGTTTATAAAACGAATATGGTCGCCAACTCATTAGTAAATGCGGTCAATTCTTGATCTAAGCGTAATTTCGTTAATGATATTCTTCCTTATATTGATGAGTTAATTTTGCTCTTGTAAAACAAAAATTCTCTAGTTAATATTGAGATTTTAGAATAACAAATTGAGTATAATAATTTGTTGCATGTTTATTTGAAATAAAATAAATTTAAACCACAAATTTTACTTTATATAATCTGTATCTAATAATTATATCTGATTATTGTGTAAAGATACATCAAAATCTCCAATTTTATTAATTTATTCTTTGTAGATTTTAATTTGTTGTTTAGGATCAAATTAACTCATAAAAGCAACGTGTTTTCACCCAATTTGCACTCTACTAACCCTAGCCGTCACTCTCTAACCCTACTTTACCGTCATCATCCTCATAGTCAGCCAACCTCTTCATATATCCGAAATTTATTTTTCATAGACCTTTCATGTTTTCTTGGTTGTTTTTCCAAATTTCTAGGTTATCCCACTATGGCATTTACTACATTACTAGAAGCATTCAAGTTTATATCAATTCCAATGCTACCAAACACTTAAAGCAAGGCACAAAAAAATAGTTCGAGGGATATGGAAGGAGCTTCATCTGATGAGAAATATGCCGAGGAATTACAGTTACAAGAAGCACTATATTTCTCTCGTATTTCAAATAGTAGTGTAACAGTAGAAGAAGAAGAAGAAGAAGGTGGATCATCTTCTTGTTCTAAATTGAAAGAATCCGATTGTGGTATCTGTATGGAAGTTAAACCGGTTGAAAAAGTGTTCGAAAACCCTAACTGTTCACACTCTTTCTGTGTAGACTGTGTTGGGAAATTTCTAGCTGTAAAAATTCAGGAGAATAGATCAAGTGTAAAATGTCCTTATCCAAAATGCAATGGTATTTGGGAGCCTCATGATTGTAGTTCATTTATACCAAAGGATTTGCTTGATAGATGGGAAAATGCAGTTTGTGAGGATACCGTGTTGAGTTCGGAGAAATTCTACTGTCCTTTTAAGGATTGTTCAGCTATGTTGGTGAATGATGAAAAGGAAGCAGTTGTGACTAGTTCGGAATGTCCGCATTGTCATAGATTATTCTGTGCTCAATGTAAGGTTACATGGCACGCAGGAGTTGATTGTGAAGAGTTTCAAAGCTTGAAAGACGGGGAGCGAGGGAGGGAAGATATCTTGGCTATGGAGCTTGCTAAGAACAAGAAATGGAAAAGATGTCCAAAATGCAGCTTCTATGTTGAAAGAGTTGTGGGATGCACTCGCATTACATGCAGGTATAAATGTTTGTGAAAATTTCTAATTTTTAACTTGATATTTACCTATGAAGCACAAACAATCCAAATACGATTCTGACATTGACACCGCGACAATGATAAATTCGAAAAAGTATGCAGGTGTCCAACACCAACACCACCAACACGATACAGATACAGATACGCCTTTTTCCATACATGTTGGGGGGGGGGGGGGGGGGTACATTGATATTTACTTTGCAGGTGTGGTAATCAATTTTGCTATGGCTGTGGATCTACTTGGAATGAAGACACTCATTATCATTGTGCAACTCAATAAACATTGCATGGAGAGTGAAATTGAAGAACAGCAATTAACTTATTTGATTATGGTTTTTATTTTATTTTATTTGCTTTCTTGTTTCTTGAATTGAAGCCTAGATATGCTGGATCATTTGGTCTGTCTTGAGTGTTGTTGCTTGACAGTTTGCATTCTTTTTTGTGGATGATCGAGTCGTGATAGTGAAGTCCAAGATTCGACCATTGGGGGTTTCGGTGGAGCAGCTAGAGGAGCTAGGTTGTTTTTTGTGTGTTGTTAGGCGGTCCAGTTTAGTTTCGGTATTCGGTTGTTAATCGTCGTGGTGTGTTTCTTAAGGTTGCAGTTTTGGAGAGTGTTTTATTAGATTCCAAAGTCTTTCAAGTTTTGTTTTAGCCTTTATTTGATAAAATTCATAAATTAATTTGAGTATTTGATAAATTATCTCTTCTATTAACTAATAAATATAAAATGACATAAAAATACATTTAATTGACAGTTGCATTATATTATTGTATCATATAATTAAACATTTATATATAACTTTTGTAATGAACTTATATAATTATATTTATATATAAATTTAATAAGATATATGAAATAATATCATTACGATTTTGAATTCAATTATATTAATTTAAAATAATAATAAAAATAAGTTTATTGTCTATTTTACGATAAAATTTCAATATTATTACAGATTTTAGTCGTCTTCATAATCTCCTTGATCGTCTTGATGTTTCACAAATTTGAGAATTATCGACACTATCTTTAAATTCATTATGAGATATGTAATTTAGATGTTATTAAAAGATAATTAAATATTATATTTTTTTGTTAAAATAATAAGGATATAAATGTAACAAAAATCACTTGTTAAAAACTACAAACTCAAATACTATTTTAAATAGTTTCTGGAAAAAAAAACTAAAATAATAAAAAAAAATTATAAGCTAAAAGCTAAATGACAGTTACCAGACAAAGTTATTTTGTTAATATGAGCTAAAAAGCTAAAAGTTAAAAGCTAAAAGCTTTTTTTTTCTAGTTGTCGACTCTGCTGGGGACACAACCCTAAGGTTAAAGTTTCCCTATCTTTTAGGTCTAGGATTTTCTTGGGGTTCTTTTTATTTTTGGCATGTTTTTCTTTCCATATATATATATATATATATATATATATATATATATATATATATATATATATATATATATATATATATATATATATATATATATATATATATATATATATATATATATATATATATATATATATATATATATATATATATATATATATATATATATATATATATATATATATATATATATATATATTTATTTATTTGTTTATCTGTTTATTTATTTATTATCATATTATTTATATTATTGGTGGGATTTAATTTCAAAAATATCAAACCTTAGAAAGAAGGATGTCAACTGGCCAATGGGATTTAGCATCCCTATGAGTTTTTGTGACGACTTCGCCTAGAGTGGGTCGAGTTTCAAGGAATATCTTTTAGAGACTCTCTTGGAGATAAGACTTCGGAATTTGACCAATGACTCTTTGTATAAGCCTAAAACAAAATCTCATGTTGAGATATTGTATGACCTGAAAGACAAAAATCTTGGTCTACTAAGAGGCTCCGCTTAAGGGAGACCTTTGTGCCTTTCCCTCTAGTGTTATCCATGATACCCTTAAGGAAGCCATCCTTATGGGAATGGTAGAATATCTGTAGGACGAAACTAGGAACCTACCTACTAAAGATACCTTTCATAATCCCTCAACCATGTCATATCACCATGCATACATACATCATTGCATTTTTTGCATTTATTTTGCCTTATACATAGGATTGCTAAAGAAAAAATAATAAAAAAACAAAGGTTTTGGTGAGTATCCTCAAGACGAATACCGGCAAGTAACCTACCGTCCGTGTTAGTGCCCTTATGCTTGATATAAAGAAAATGAAACTGATCAGAGAAAACTGCCTGAAAAAGCTATGAATATGTTTGTTCGACGCTATGGAGATATTATTGAGCTCACAGAGGTGATCATACAAGTAGAAGCAGTTATTGTCCTAGCTTAGTTCTATGATCCTCCGCTAAGGTGTTTCACTTTCCAGAATTTTTAGTTGGTACCTACTTTGGAGGAATTTGATAGGATTTTAGGATTCTCTAGAATCAAAGATGCGGCTTACATAGGGATTGGAAATACTATCAAAGTCCGAGACTTAGCTAAGGAGTTAGAGATACTCTTCACTGAGATGTTACTCAACTATAAGAAAGATGGAGAAGTATAAGGTATCAAGAGGCAGTACTTAGAATCTAAGGCTCTTTCTTTTGCTGATAAGAAAGAATGGAAAGTTTGTGTGGATTGTTTAGAACTACTTATTTTTTATTTGATTTTGTTTTCAAATACTGTGCACTATATTGATTCGGCGGCCATTAATGTATTTTGGGTCGTGAAAGTTTTGAATGTTGATTTTACTCCTACTCTGCTTGCTGATGTTTATTACTCTCTTCATACTCGTTATGAAAAAGGGAGAGGTGTACTACATTTTTGTATTTCTCTTCTATATCCTTGGCTCATTACTCACCTCTACGAGGAGGACTATATGGTCAAAGATCTGACAAGGAATGAATGGTCTCAAAAATTGAGGGCTCTCAATGCTAATTCAGTCTTGTGGTATGCTAGGAAGTTGAACATAGGAGATATTATCTATAATTGTGGAGAATTTTCAAACTTTCCCCTGATTGGAACAAGAGGATGCATCAACTATAACTCCACTTTGGATTTACGTCAACTTGGGTACTCTTTGAAAGATAAACCTTCCGACGAGCAAATTTAACCATTGGTTATTTATGATATGAGTAAAAATGACCCCGAGTTACTTGCAAAGATCGTCCAAGATTGGTGTAAATTCCACAAGAAAGGTGTTGAATTTGGAAGGAAGAATACCATAACAAGGGAACGTTATACTCAATGGGTCTTGGAGAGAGTCAGAATCAACAAACTACCATTTGATGTTGATTCTACATACACACCAGATGTGCCAGATCCTCTTCCGAAGTCTGTGGAGGAAATAGAGGAATTAAAAAAATGCCCTCAAGCAAGCTCAAAGAGAAAAGGAAGACTTGGAACATAACCTTTATGATCTTGCTTACGAGAAGAATAAGTTGCAACGAGAGCTTGAGTTGAAAGATTAACAGATTCAAAACTATTGTGAATTGGATGAGAAAGAAAGGTCTAAACAAAAGCGTAATACCGAGGGGCTGCTAAGTGCTACTTTCAACTTTGATTCCTACAACCAACAGTTGGATGATGCCGCAAGAGAAATTGCGAGACTAAAGAAATGGTATGATAAAATATTACAAGACAAAAGAGAGTTGGAAGAGGTTCTAAGAATCCAAATCCAAAAATTATAAGAAGGTGCTCAAGATCAAGTAGACTAGGTTCAAATCCTTCTCACAAGTCTCTGAGAAAGCCAATAAGAAAAGGTGAGATAATGCCTTAGAAAAATGAGAGCAAAATAACTTATCTCTAAAAAGGTGGAAGAGTGTGAATAAGTCTGTCAAGAGTTAGAAGGCCTCCGAAAATATTTCCTTATACAAAGGTGTAGCGGTAGAAATGTTTAAGACTAAGCCATTAGATTTACTAGACTTATATAGATAAAAAAAATTGCCACCGCGCTTTATTGTTTCCAAAGGAATGGGAAAAGAGTGAATAACCCAAAAAAGAGGGGGAAAGATTCAAGGTAAGGGGGTTGGTTATGACAAGGGAAGGTATTAGCACCCTAAACATCTACGATACTCCGCAGGAACCTCTTTGTAAAATCTGTAGATTTTGTCTATAAAAATATTATATAAAAATAGATGGTGGATATGAGAAAAGAAATATATTTTTTATGATTTTCGCACCCGCCGCGGTTGTGAACCTTTAGTGCCTATGTACCACCTTCTGTGCAATAGGGGATCATGGTACATGTAGTTCCTCTTTAAAAATTTTAAAACAAAATTATGTTAGTTAATTTTATGAGATAAAACATCATTGTCATTGTCCGTGTGAAAAATATACTTACTACCCACAATCATTAGAAAGGAGAATTAGCATCATCTCAAAGTGGAGAATATGGATTAGATTTTAAAATCAACAATGCCTCACTTAACACCCAAGTGGAAAATATCCATCTTTACTACATATTGTAGAAGTATAGTTATTTGCATCACTACAAGGATTGACAAGAGTCTAATCTTTTTTTTGAGAAAAAAAGTTTTAAAATAAAAGATCCAAAGTGGCAAAATGGTTTGAAATGAGATTGATTGACTTTTAGTCTTCTCACAAAAAATGCCAAGGTACTATTAAGTTGATTGAAGTTTATTTATGAAAATATTTTGAAAATGCATGGACCTAAGTCCAAGTTTATTATGAAAGTGGTTCAATTTTAGAAACAAGAAGAGTTTTCAAAAGGAGGAGGAAGATTTTTGAAATCAAAGAATGTGGAAGGAGAAGAAGAGACTATCCTAAAGGCATAAGATAAAAGCTAGGGATAAGAACCATCTAACCTACAAAAAGTCAATACTTGACATTATGAGCCAAGATAGAATTCTCATTCTTTGGATTGAAACCAAGCAAGCAAAGATACTAGACCTCTTGTGAGAACCAAACTTCAAGTGTATTAAGTCTTCATAAAAAATTGGACAGAGTAACGGCTGCATACAGGTGAATTTCAGATTACAAACAAAGAATGTAATCACAATAACCTGCACACAAAACAAACAAACAACCCAATATCTTGAGGTAAACCTCAAGAGCTCCATACAAAATATCAATTAAGGTCACAAGGTCTCCAACATAGGCCATGGTTTCTAATCCTAAGTCCAAGAAGTCCAATACTCCATAATGCCAAGGATAGTAACCAAATAGTCCAAGTACCATTAAAATTTTCTTTTATGGTTTATGTTGATTATTAGGTGTCTTAGAAGACCAAAGAAAAAGCTTAAGTGAGCAAAGATGAAGATATCAT